AGGTATGATCTGTCAAACACAAATCACGAGTAGCTAATAAATCACATTTTGTGGAGGGAGGAAAACTGGAGAACTAGGAAAAAACCCCTGCAATTTAAGTAGAGCTCTAATTCCATGAATTAAAACCGAGACCCCAGATTTGAGAGACTAGATTAATATTTTCTACGCACCCTTGACTTSAAAATGCACCTCAACATGAATCCATTTGGTGAGAGCAGTGCCATGTGTGGCCGTGGAAAGGAGCACTTCTTTTTTTTTTGTAAATACTTATTCACTTGGATTTGAATGTTGAATACTATGTTTGAGCATAATTTTCAAACGGGATTTACCACTCTCTTGGGTTAAAGGTGRAAAGCCTAACAGGCTTTTCAATAGATAAGACTGCCGATAGATCGTATGAGAATTTGGGATATCATTTTAAGAAGAAAAAAAAACGGAGAAACGGAAGGAGAACTTCCCTCGAAGTACAAGAGATTATAAMYAACAAGCAACTCTACTCATGATCACTWAARKCAAAAGTCCCAGACTCGAACCCAGGTTGCATGGTTGAGAGACGGTGCATTAGCAGCGTACATCTCCCACGCATTTCCTTGSATTGAGATGTGATTATTGCTTATAATTAAAATGTCAGTACCATGAATATACACAATATSCACATGCAGACAGTAGCTTTACACTTCTTTTTTATAACAAAATAGGTTCCTATTATTACTTGGAAGCATCGTACCCCACGCAGCAACATGACAGCGCGTCCCTCATAAGTCCAGTGTTCTTTCCAAAATATCACAAGTGCTTTTCATTCTGGTACTACATGGATGGTGAAGAAATGGGGGACCTGGTAGTCARAATCAAGACCTACAGTAGAACAGCTTATACTCTAACCGTTGCAGAAACAGAAACTACGATACTGAAAAGAAGTGGAAATAAGGGCAAACGATGGAAACTTGCTGTGTTAAAACTYAATTCCAATAACCTCTTTTCGGTAAGAAACCCTTTTAGAGTATAGGTATATTATGAGGTAATGTCTGTAAAAATCAAACATAATCGAAAATTGGTGGGCCACGTTGAACAAATTATTTTTGTTCATGTTTGGTCCAAAGATGTGGAATACCACCCAAATGAACGTACTGGTGTTCATTTTGAATAATTTCACTT